CCTTTCTCTACTAACCTGTAACCCTCATGAGATCAACAGACATTGGTTGAATGAAGTTGATTAAATAATATAAAAAAGAATGGGACTAATGAAAATGTTAATATGAAAAGGTATCCAAGATAAAGGTACATTATTAAGCAAAAGAACAAGTTGCATGTATGGGCACACGTGTGTCTGAACAGTACACAAATCATCAGTGAATACGTCCAAGGGCAGAACAGGGGGTCAGAAAGAGTAGGAGACTTGACTTTTCATTTTACCTTCTTCTGCAGCATGTTACTTTTTTTTTTTTTTTTCTGAGACAGAGTCATGCTCTGTTGCCTAGGCTGGAGTGCAGTGGTGTGATCTTGGCTTACTGCAACCTCCGCCTCCCGGGTTCAAGTGATTCTCATACCTCAGCCTCCTAAGTAGCTGGGATTACAGGCGTGCACCACACCCAGCTACTTTTTCTGTTTTTAGTAGAGATAGGGTTTCGCCATGTTGGCCAGGCTGGTCTCGAACTCCTGGGCTCAAGTGATCTGCCTACCTGAGCCTCCCAAAGTACTGCAATTACAGGCACGAGCCACCACACCCAGCCCGGATATTACGTTTTTAACATGTCATGTATTACGTTTATATTTTTTAAATGCTTCAACTATAATTTTTTGAAAATCATTTTGTCAATATTTTTTCTTAAAAAAAAAAGGTCAGGCCGGGCGCGGTGGCTCAAGCCTGTAATCCCAGCACTTTGGGAGGCCGAGACGGGTGGATCACGAGGTCAGGAGATCAAGACCATCCTGGCTAACACGGTGAAACCCCATCTCTACTAAAAAATACAAAAAACTAGCCGGGCGAGGTGGCGGCGCCTGTAGTCTCAGCTGCTGGGGAGGCTGAGGCAGGAGAATGGCGTGAACCCGGGAGGCGGAGCTTGCAGTGAGCCGAGATCCGGCCACTGCACTCCATCCTGGGCGACAGAGCGAGATTCCGTCTCAAAAAAAAAAAAAAAAGGTCAATTTTAAATCTAAGTATAACTTAGGTTTCTCTGGTGTCCATAGAATCAAGCCATTTTCAAATGCTTCCACAACAAAGATACCAAAAAGCACAATAACAGAATCAGCATATATTCAAAGTAGAAGTCGTATCAGTCTCTTTTTATTGAAATATCTCAATGTTATTCACAGCACTACTAGGAAATGAACAACATTTCTATATTACAAATTCCTCCATTTTGTATAAAAATGGCCACTCCTAGGGAGGCAGAATAATAGTGTTTGATGGACATGCTTTGAACTGGAACTGATCTGAGTTGGAATCCAGACTCGGTCATTAGTCGGGTGAAGTTCTTCAACTTGTCTAGTTGGGTTATGAAATTCTTCAACTTGTCTAAGCCTCCATTTCCTCATTAGCAAAATGAGAGTGGTACTGCCTGGCTGTCAAACCCTACCCCAGAACCTCTGCTGGAACATAAGCTTGCCTTATGTGCTTACACTGACAAACACGTTTCACTTGAAAGACAATCACTCATGACCTCAAGCCTGGGATAGTACTGCTTAGAATCAGGCTAAAGTAGGTGGCAGCCACCTCAAGCAACCCAGAATTGTAGGCGTGGTGCTCCGGCAGGCCCATAGGTAAGTCAAATCTTTGGTAACTGAATCTTTACTGTCACTGTTGAGATGTACGGAGAAAAGAGAAAATGTGTATGCTATCAGCTCCATTGCAGCCAGCTAAGGGTGAGGAGGGTAGGAGAGAAGGGCCGCTTCTCCCACAACCACAGTGCGAACTTGAAGTGACATATGCACTGCCTCCTGGAGGACCAGACAGCAAGGGTCCTGCTACGTGGGGCTTGGAAAGCTGCCATGACAGTGCTGGCTGCCTACTCCACCTACCCTGAGTCACAGATCATGGAGTCTAGCACATGAGTCATGGGCACTCATGTCAGAGATTTTTGTCAATTGATTAATTAGTTTAATAACTTTCTCTTTTCTGTCGCCTTTTAAAAAAATATAGCAATGTTTTTCTTTTATATTCACCATATAATGTTTCCTTTAAAATGCATGTAAGTGTAAAAAGTGACTGAAGGTTGAGAGAAGCTGCCTTCAGCCATCAATTGCAGATTCTGTTCCTGACACTAACATCAGGAGATGTAGTCTAGAGGGACAGAGCTGACTCAGTCTTCAACTCTGCGACCCGCAGGAAGTGGTCCTGGCTGTGGATGACTTCTGCTGGGGCAACTTTATCATTCCACTGCTTGCCTCTTTTCTAATATACTTTTCATTACTTGTATCATATTTAAAACCACAGAAGATATCTCAGCATCCCAGCTGGAGTAACATTTCTGAAAAGAATGTGCTAACTTGTTAATGAAATAATGAATACTAAAGTTAAATGCATATAGTCTCCTGTCACTGCCCTCCCATTGTTATTTTGAAACATTTCCAAGCTCCAGAAAAGTTATGAAACTATAAAGTAGTGGAAAAATTGGAACCATCATACAGTGCCGGTAGACTGTGAAGTGGTGCAAGACACTTTGGAAAATAATTTGGCAGCTCTTCAAAAAGTTAAAGTAGCTCAGCAAAATCCACTCCTAAGTATATACCCAAGAGAAATAAAAATATCCTCTCACATAAAAACTTGTTCTACAATGTTCATAACATTATTAATAGCGAAAAGGTAGAAATAACGCCAATGTCCATCAAGAGACGGGTGGTTAAACAAAATATGATCTATCCATACAATGGAATATTATTCAACCATAAAAAGGAATGAGGAACTGACACATGCTATGACAAGCATGAACACCGAACATTACTCGAAGTAAAAGAAGCCTGTCAGTCAAAAGGGTCACATACGGTACAATTCCATTTATATGAAATGTCAAGAATAGGCAACTCCAGAGACAAAGTCGATTTGTCACTGCCAGGGGTCAGGAGGGAGAGGGAATGAGGAGTGACAGCTAATGGGTTCAGGGTTTCTTTTTGGGGTGAAAATGTTCTAGAATTAGATCGTGGTGATGGATGCGCAACTCTGCAAATACATTAAAAAACTACTGAATTGTATACTTTCAAAGGGTACATTTTGTATTTTAAATTATCTCTATAAAGCTGTTATTTTTTAAAAAGAATACAAAGACCCATGTAGCTTTTAACTTCATTCAGCAATGAATTTAACTTCATTAGTATTTTGCCGCATTCACTTTCTCTTTTTCTCCTATACACACATGTGCATAAACATATGTGCACAGTCATGGCTGGACACTTTGACCCTAAACACTTCAGCATGTGAAGTATTCTCCTATGTAACCAAAATATTACGCTGGAGAAATTCAACACCAATACACAACAATTATAGTCCATATTTGGATTTATATTTTATCAGAAATTAAGCATTCTATTTGGTTCTCATGTCCCTTTAGTCTTTTAGTCTAGAAAAATTATCTCGCCTTTATTTTTTGACATTGATATTTCTGAAAAAACTACACTACTTGTTTCACAGAATGTCCCTCAATTTGGATATGCCTGATTGTTTCCTTATGAACTGACATGGATTAAACATTTTTGGCGGGAATACTACATAGCTGAGTTGTGACCTTCTCGGTGCATCATGCCAAGGGGTGCCGAATGTCAGTCGTCTCATTAGTTGTGATGGTAAAGTGGTGTTCATTGTTGTGCTTGGCTAGAGTGTGACTACCAGATTTCTCCATTATAAAGGTAGCTTTTTCCCTTTTGATTTTTTGAGAGGGGGTCTTACTCTGTGGCCCAGGCTGGAGTGCAGTGGTGCAATCTCGGCTCACTGCAGCCTCTGCCCGCCGGGTTCCAGCAATTTTTCTGCCTCAGTTGCCGGGGTAGCTGGGATTACAGGCGTCCGCCACCACGCCCGGCTAATTTTTGTATTTTTAGTAAAGACAGGGTTTCACCATGTTGGCCAGGCTGGTTTCGAACTCCTGATCTCAGGTGATCTGCCCGCATCGGCCTCCCAAAGTGCTGGGAATACAGGCGTGAGCCACTGCGCCAGGCCAGTTTTTTCCCTTTGTAATTAACCATCAAAGGGATGACCATTTGAGCTTGCGTAAATACCAGGCTTCCCCAGTTGTCTTTTGCCCAAAAGTTTCAGCATCCATCCAAGACCTTTGTCTGGTACTCTGTCCCTTCTGAGATTACTTTGCATTAATATGACCAACCACTGCTATCAATTTTATTCCGAAGAGTGCTGGGGCTGTGATTTCAACCCTAGCTGCACATGTATCATCGGTATCGCCGACAGTGGAACCCGAGCAACTATATTTTAAAATTCCTCAGGGTGACTGATTCTGATGTAGAGTAAGGGTTGAGATTCCCCGAGTCAGAGGAACCTTACAACACCCTCATTTGCAAATAAGGACACTGAGGCCCAAGGAGATTAAATGACTGGCCAATGTCACAAAACCTGTTAATGGCAGAGTCAAGATTTTATTTTTTTATACTTGCATTTTAATAGTCAATCCTTTATCTCAGTCGAAGAATAAAACCAGAAAAAGGAGTAACTTTCGTAGTATGTTGTTAAAAGTGACTGTCACTTAATATATGCTGCCGCCAGACATACCATTACTGCTTCCAAGGTTAGTTTTAGCTTTCGTTCATTGGACCTTTGCGGGCACCTTAGGAGAGAGGGGAAGGGGAGTCTGGTCGTCAACTCCTCTGCCCTCAGCGCTTACTGCGGGAGCTCAAGCCTGAGGGCCCAATGCCCACCGCCGGGTGTTCAAGGGGCCAGATGGGAAGAGCTGCAGCCCCGGAGTCGGGCGCCTGCCCTGCACGTCCCGCAGATGCTGCGGCGGCGCCTCCCGCGGGGCCCCTCGCAGGGCAGGCCAGGTTCGCGCGGGAAGCACCTGGCGGGGACGCACCTGGCGGGAACGCACCCACCTGGCGGAGACGCACCTGGTGGGACAGCCCTGCCCCGCCTAGGGACGCGGGACGTGTGCAGGGCGATGGAGACAGCGGAACCTGCAGACCCGCCCAACCCCACCTCCACCCCAAGCCCCCACTTACCCCGGCGTGATAAACTTTATTCGCTCTTTTAATCTTGATGTCCAGGGCCGTTCCCATCTCCAATTCTCCACAGCAGCCGCCACTTCCGGCTGCGCGTGACCCCAGGGAAACAAGGGGCGCCTCGCCCCTTCGTTCTGGGCCCCGCCCCTTTCCCTCTCAGCCGGCAGCAGCTCACGTGACCTCGCACCTAGGTCGCACACACTTCCTAGCTCCGAGAGGCGAACGCCCCACGCCTTCCTCCTTCCGGCACAGGAGCAGGCCTTAGTGCGGGGAGAAGAGCTGTCACCCTTCACCCCGCCCACTCCGGGCGTGAAAGGCGGGACCAAACTAGCCCCACCTGGGATAGTCTTACGCCGGAAATGCTCCTTTTCTTTCTGGGTTAGCGGAGGGAGGGAAGAACTCTCAGCTCTCCCGGCGTGCCCCGCGGCCGGGGGCAGGACCGAGGCCGTCTGTCGGGCGCAGCCTGCGCAGGAAGCGTGATGCTCCCGTCAGGCTGTGCGGCGCAGAGGGGTAGCACTATGGAGTTGTCTTTCTGGAGGTTATAACTTGGGAATGCCTGTCCTCCTCAAATGTCCTTAATCTCCTCAACTGTAGCCCTCTACCGCTTTCTCCCTGGGGTTCTGAAGAGCCGGCGCCCCCTTGTCTGTCCGTGGCCAGGCGCCGTTCCCTGCCCTTCCCACGGGAACGGTTCCGGTCACCCTCAGGGGTGCAGCCCCTGCGCGCTCGTCCTGCAAAGCGCTGATCGGCTGGCGGCTCGGCTGCCCAGCGTCCCAGCGCCAGCCGGGCCTAGGGCCAAGGTCTCGGGAAGCGCCAGGTGACCTCGCTCCGCTCGGAGCCGCGGCGTTGGGTCACCCGCCGGCCGGGCTCCTCGGGCCGCGAGGGATTGTGGGTGTTCCCCAGGCGCGTGTCCTGGAACCGGGTATTAAATATTCAGATCCGTGCGCCCCGCACTAAAGGGTGGAAAGGCACGGCCCGCAGGCTGTGGCGCTTGGAGGTTGATTGCAAATGAAAGACTGGAAGCTGAAGTGAATCTGCCTATTCTTATTCCCAGCAACAGTTGACCCCAGATATAGTTTGTGGGGGTGGGGGGCGTTACTGCAGGGCAGGGCAGTGCACTGTTAACATACTTCGTTTACTGAGTTAAAATCTCTTCTAAATGTTATAAATGAGGATTTTGCCAGTAAGCGGAAGGTCAGATTTCATTTTGGCAAGTGATTTAATTAATGCGGTGAAAAGTGCTTTTTGTTTAAATTCTTTGCTTTTTGTTTATTTGATTCCGATAATTGTTTTTAAAAGTGCATTACTTTTGGGATGACATCAGAAATTATCTGTAAAACGACTGCAAGAATTAGTATCATGAATGCCTCCCTCTTGAGAATATAAAATGTTTTACAGGCCAGCAGTGATGGTACTGCAGCTACAACTGCTTTTGAAGGTTAATAAATGGTATTTTCAAATATTCAGGTCTTGGTTTGCAGCTCCTCTCTGCCCTCAGGGCTTTGGTCTCTGCCTTGAATGTTTTCCTGGCAACTCAAACTCAGCGATTTTAGAACAATTCATTAGGGACTTAAGAAGTGGATCCCTTTCCACTAGACTCACCCATCATTTTCAAATGGTAAAAAATCAATCTCAGTGGACACTGCAGAGAAACAGAAAAAGAAACACATGTATCCACATTGTATACTTGTTTTCCTTGTTTTGTTTTTGAGACGGAGTCTCACTCTGTCGCCCAGGCTGGAGTGCAGTGGCGCTATCTCAGCTCACTGCAGCCTCCGCCTCCCGGGTTCAAGCAATTCTCCTGCCTCAGCCTCCCGAGCAGCTGGGACTACAGGCACGCGCCACCACTCCCAGCTTATCTGTGTATTAGTAGAGATGGGGTTTCACCATGTTGGCCAGGCTGGTCTCGAACTCCTGACCTCGTGATCCGCCTGTCGGGGCCTCCTAAAGTTCTGGGATTACAGGGGTGAGCCACCGCGTTCAGCCTCCAATCGCTATCCTTTTAAATCTTTTCCATCCCTCACACTTAGATGATACCTTAAGTTTCTGGTCCATTTGAGTTACCAAAAATCAGACCTTGTTAAAGTGTCGATTTCATGTCTCAAGCGGGACCCTAAATCCCTTAGTGTGAGTGGGAAGGTGCAAAGCGTGGTTTTGGCACGCCGACACTTCTGAGCGTCTCTCTGCAAGGCCTGGCTTCTGTGTTGAGATAAGGAAGAGGAGAGAAAATGAGACAAATATGTCTTAACTGGCCACTGCTGAATTTTCTTAGTTGATTCCTGCTTCTCTGGGTAACTGTCTCGTTTAAAATTCCTTTGGCGGGGTACACATGGGGAGGTCGGGTGAAGCCTTCTCCCTGCCACACAGTTCCATGGGAGATCTGTCCCCACCTTGATCTTTTCCATCACCCCCCTGGCAGCACCCAGCAGTACACTCAGACTCTCAGGCAAGATCGCTCAGGACCATTTGTCTTCGGCACAGGAAGGATTTGACCCAGGAGAAATACACATCTTTGCCACAAAAAAGGGCTGGACTGAAGACCCCCCATGGCTGCTCCTCTCTCCCCTGCCATCCCTCTTCAATTTTCTTGTTCCCTCTTGCAATACAGACAGGGATAAATCAGCAAGAGTGCTGGAGGAACAGATCTGCAGGCAAATAGAATACCAGACTCCCCTTCCAGTAGGCCCCCTGACACCTAGGAGAGATTGTCCTATGTCCTTCCCAGCTACATCACTTCGCACCAGAAACACTGTCCTCCACAGTACTGTCTCCTTTCATTCCTTCCCCTGCCTTCCTGTATAGATTGAGGAGAGGACTGGGGAAGTATTTGGTGGAAGAGGGGGCCAGATCTGCAGCTTTTTCTTAAGCCCTGGGGGAAGTGGCCCTAATTATAGGCATCTTTCATTAGGAGATGGAGTGCTATGCCTGTAGTTTTCCATTGTGAGCCTAGTGCCAATTCTAGGACAACAGCAGAGGTCCCACTAAACATCCTTAAGTGGGTGCTAAGATTCTCTGCCCAGACCCTTCCTTCGGGACTGAAGGACATGTTCCCTGAGCTGCTAGGAGTATTGATCTCAACAGCGCTCAGCTAAGTCACTCTTCAAAGCTTTCCTTTAATGAAGAAAACTGCCTTGCCTAAGGTCATTTCCCCTTCTTGGGGGCAGTCCACACCTGACGATTAATCCATTTAGGATATACAGGCCTCTCCCTTGTCCCAGTTTAGGACAACTCTGAAGGACCATTCCATATGCAAAACTCCTAGTATTAGTTAAATACTGATGTGTAGCAAATTAGCCCAATCTGTAGTAGTTTTAAATAACAAACGTCTCATGTCTGCGAGTTGGGAACTCAGGAGAAGCTTCCCTGGGTGTTTCTGGCTCAAGGTGTCAGGTTCTTGCAGTCCTCTGAAGACCTGTTGTGGGCTGGAATATCCACTTCCAAGATGGCTCCCTCACGTGACTGAGGTTGGGAGCACTCACTTCCACTCCGCAGGTTGCTTGAGAAGCCTCACAATATGGCAGCTAGCTTCTCCCAGACCAGTCCATCAAGAAAGAGTGCAATTAGGGAGCTGCAATGCCCTATGTGGCCAAGTATCTGAAGCACATCTACTTTTCTTCTCTCCATTAGAAGACAGTCACTAAATCCAACCTACATTTGGGAAGGGGAATTTAGCTCTACCTTTGGAAGGCAGGGTCAAAGAATTTGAGGACGTCTTTTAAACCACTACACCCCGCATTGAATCCAGCTTCCTACGCCCAAACCCTGTGCACCTCTTGATCCTGAGAGCACCTCCCCAGTAAACTTCCTGCACATTAAATCTCCATCTCGTAGTCTGCTTTCTGGCAACCTAACCTCAACAATCCAGTTACGCTAGTTTCTTAATAACCCTCAAGACAATCTTATGATACAGGAATAATTACTATTTCCTCACCTTACAGAAGGGAAGACAGGCACAGAAAGATTAATGTACTTGCCCAACGTCATATAGCAACTAAGTGGCAGCCACCAATTCTGACTCCAGAGTTCATACAGGCAATTGCTGATCAATGCGCCACATACATGCATACAACAAACGCCTGGGTGCATAACAATGGGGGGCTCATGATCATAATCAAAAGACTGGACAAAAGACTGCCAATCAAATGGGAAAATCCAGCAGAGGTGCAATGTCATAGTTAAAGGCAATCTTAAAGAAAGGAATTGGGGGTCACTGTATCAACTGATAGTGAAGATAGAGTATTAAAACTACTGCAGAATAGTATAATGCTTTTTTGCTAGGGCTGCCACAATGAAGTACCACAAACTGGTGGCTTCGAACAACAGAAATTTATTCTTTTACACTTCTGGAGGCTGCAAGTTCAAAATCAAGATGTCAGCAGGGTTGTTCTTCTGAGGACGGTGAGGAAAGAATCTGTTCCAGTTCTCTCTCCTTGGCTTTTAGGTGGCCCTCTTATGTCTCCTCACTCTATCTTTAAAAAATATGTCTTCATGGCTGGGCACAGTGGCTCACACCTATAATCCCAGCACTTTGGGAGGTCAAGGCAGGAAGATGCCTTGAGCCCAGGAGTCCGAGACTAGCCTGGGCAACATGGCAAAACCCCCTGTCTCTACAAAAATATGAAAATTAGCTGGACATGGTGACACATGCCAGTAGTCCCAGCTACTTGGGAAGCTGAGGTGGGAGGATCGCTTGAGCCTGGGAGGCAGAGGTTGCAGTGAGCCAAGATCATGTCACTGCACTCTGGCCTGGGCGACAGAGCGAGACCCTGTCTCAAAAAATGAAATAAAATAAAATGTGTCTTCACGTTCAGTGATGTTCTTTCTGTATGAGTGTCTGACTCCAAACTTGCCCTTTTTCTAAATACACCAGTCATCTTGTATTAAGGTCCTTTTAACTTGATTACCTCTGTAAAGACCCTACTTCCAAATACAGTCACATTCTGAAATACCAAGGGTGAGGACCTTAATTTGGCAGGGATGCAATTCAACCCAGAACACATCACAACAAAATACGTACAACAAAAACATGAGACACACAGTGATAAATGGACAGAGACAGTGAGTAGGAGATTTAAACACAACGCGGTCTATCAGAGACTGAGTGGAGACAAGATAAGGACGAGAATTTTTTTTTTTTTTGAGACAGAATCTCGCTCTGTCACCCAGGCTGGAGTGCAGTTGTGCAATCTCGACTCACTTCAACCTCCACCTTCCAGGTTCAAGTGATTCTCCTGCCTCAGCTTCCCAAGTAGCTGGGACTACAGGCGCCCACGACCACACCAGGCTAATTTTTGTATTTTTAGTAGAGACAGGGTTTCACCATATTGGCCAGCCTTGTCTTGAATTCCTGACCTAGGACAAGGATTTTTAACAAAATAAGAAGTACAATTTATAAATAAGACAGAATCATGGGGAATTCACGTTTCAAGTGCTTGTGGTGCATTTGTAAGCACTATTGCTTATCAATTATACCCATCCTCATAAATAGGATTAGTGCCTTATAAAAGGAATTGAAGGGAGCTAGCTAGTCCTTTTGCCCTTCTGTCCCTTCTGCCAAGAGAGCACTTGCCGTTTGTCCCTTCTGGAGGACTCAACATTCAAGGCGCCATCTTGGAAGCAGAGTGGAACCAGACACAGAACATGCTGGTACCTTGTTCTTAAACTTCCTAGCCCTCGGAACTGTGAGAAATGAACTTCCATTGTTTAGAAATTACCCACTCTGTGGTATTTTGTTATAACAGCATGAATGGACTGAGACAGTTGCATGTATGACCACTAAGAACATCTCAATTTTGATTATGTACAAGTTTGATTAAGGATGTCCCGGATACCTTAACTACCACAACTTACACCACTTGGCAGTTAAGACACACTTTCTCAA